TGAATCGATCTAACTCAAAGGGATCGAGTTCCCTTACCTCTAGAACATGCCTAGGACTAGATTGGATAACCCGGGATGTTGATCTCCTCGTTGATCGATGATTGAACCCTCAAACGTCACCTCTAATAAAAATACAAGTTTCGGATTAGACTATCGATAAATCGAATTTAGAAATCGCTAAAGGATTAGGGATCGTTACCTAGAAACACGAAAGGGATGGGATCGGGGTCGGGAAACAGGGCGGAGACGGTGCTCCCTTTCTTCCCTTTCTTCTTTCTTCTCGCCGCGTGGTTGCAGGGGGGATGACAATTGTGGCGGGCGGTTTTTTTTTTATGGGCAGGGATTATGTTTGCTGGGGGAAATAAATTAGGGAGGGGGCCAAGCGGCTCCCCACCTCTCTGTATATATCTATTTTTTATAATAATAATAATAATAATAATAATAATATAATAATAATAATAATAGTTATTATTATTATTAATCCGCGGTTGCAACTCTTAGTGCGTAATCGTCAATCCAACCGATCATTTATTATTGGTCGAACCCGCATCCAAAGGTCGGGGTGTTACATAGCTACACTGTTTACCGTTTAAGAAACAACTAATTAAATTAATCCCAAAAGAAAAGGACAACTAATTCCGCACTATAAGATATACCAACCTGTCAGTTTCTCAAAAAAGTCCGTACTACTTACTTTGTAGAGAGCAACTGCTACACCACATATATTCTCTTTCGTATCCAACGCACTAGGCCTCCTTTCTCGTATTCGATTATTTGTATACCACAATGAAGAGTCGCATGCATGCATTGTTCAGAGGCATGCTCTTTCTCTTGATGATCATGTTGTTTGTGTTGGGGGGCAAATTCAGCAGGTTCCCCGCCTTTCAAGGTAGGCTTCTACATGCGGTCTTGCCTAGCTGCAAAATCCATTGTGAGAAAAACCGTGAGAAGGGAAATCTCTCTCAATCCAGACATCGGAGTCGGGCTCATCAGGTTGCACTTCCACAACTGCTTCGTCCGGGATTGCGATGGTTCGGTGTTGCTAAATTCCCTCCCAGTTTACTAATTTTGTAGTCTCTTGCTCAATATTCAAATTATCTCCAAAACTCTGTAACTGCTACAATTTAACTAAGGAGAAAAGCATAAACAACAAGCAAAGGAAGCTAGCTGCTCAAGATTCAAGGTACTTATGTTGTAAATACTACCATGTGTTGTTAGAATGCTTCATGAAAAATTATTCGAGTAATCATCAGGAGGTTTGGTTGACTATCTATCATGAATAAAAAAAGATTTTTTTTTCTTCTCAAATTGTTGGTGTCTTGGTTTAAATTTGACTTGAAATTACGATTTAATTTCCACCAAGATCTCATGAAACCAAAATTATTTTCCCTTTTCAGGACTAGAAACTTAAGATATTCTGGCAAGAGCAAACCCTTATTCCTATTGCTGAAAGTTATTTAGTATATCTCCATCTCATGCATATGACATTGTTTTTGAATGTTTTCTTATATTTATGAATCATAATATATCCATGCATCACAAACATGTTCTTATTCACGAGTCGCATGTTTTGTTTTGGATCACGGTTATCTTGTTTTAATTCCGTTGTGTTTTATACAAACAGTGTGGGAATCTTTGTGATACGTCTGAATGTCTGATTGTTTTTGCTTGCATGCAGTTATTCTATATTTTATTTATCCAACTATAGTATAAAAAGACGGAAAAAAAGCTTTATCCAATTATTATGTTAAAAGGTATGAAATAGTGATGGCAAATGGCTGGAATGGGTGGGTATCTCAATACCTATACACGCCATGCAACAAGCAGTAATCGATTCAGCTGAAATATGGCCTTATGTTTTGCGTTGTAGGAGTACGGAGCCCACATGATCATAGTTTTATATGGTGCACACAATCAGCCATTTAGATAATTTTTTAGTATTTCTAATATATGTATAAATACACATTTAGTAATATAGTAATGAAACTTACAAAATGTTACACATACATATATAACCGATTCTACGTAAGCATGCATAATAATGTTTATTATTGGTGACACGATTTGTATCACACAAGTATGTATGGTATGCTGTTATTTAATACTAGTCAATACCATATGGTATTGACTGGTAATAACTGACAAATTTTTTTTGTTCCAAAAAATATCAAAATAGATATCATTTTGAAGAGCAAAATTAATTTGATCTAACTGTGCAAAAAAAAAATTCCGAGTTAAAACGAGTGAGAAATCGTCCGTTAAAGATTAAGGGAAAGAAAATTAAAGATTTTTCCAGGAGAGAGAAGGAGGCGCTGATGTGGCAGATTCTTATTGGGTTATGCATGGGGTTACTCACCACAAGGTTATCACCGGATCTGCTCCCCGTTTAAAGCCTATACGAAGCATTGCAAAATGATATTGAAAGAGCTGATTCTCATGACAAATCGAGCGTTCAAAAAACAAAACAGGCGCTGACACTAGCTTTTTTTTTTACAGGAATCTGTGAATGCTTTATTAATTAGATGAAGCAGTATCACCATCCATCTGAAGCTGATTAACTAGAATTATCGGAGGCCTATCCAGCCACACTAGTCTTTCATCCCATCTCGACTCAACATGAGCCATAATATGAGCTGCCTCGTTAGCTTCCCTATAAATGTGATGCCAAATACCATTACCCGTAGCTCTCATCAATCTCCTTATACTTCGACAGATAACTCCACTCTCATCCCGAATCACATCCGGATTCTGTAACTTATAAGCCAGCACTTGACAATCAGTCTCAAGAATCACATTCCGGAAGTTGCATTGTACTGCCAATTGCAGGCCAAATTCTGCTGCAATTGCTTCAGCAGCCTCAACTTCCCACTTTCCTGGGACTTTCTTCACTGCCGCGAGAAGGAAAGCTCCTGCTGAATCCCGACACACCACTCCCAGCCCTGCCCATTCGTTTTCCAAAACTCCTGCGTCAACACAAACAGATATGCTCCCAAAACTTGGCTTTTTCCAGCCTCTCCTCTCCCTTGCCACGCTTGGCTCCTCTTGGACCACCTGGTGAGCTTTGTAATCTGCCATCAAATGTTGCGCCCTCATTACTATCTCCTCTTCGGGTAGTTTTGCTCCGTTAAACAGGTGAGCATTTCTTTCCTTCCAGAGATACCAAAGCAGGACACACCAACCGTCAAACTTAACATCGTCACCTCTATCCATAGCTTCTCGCACCCAATTAAAAAATGAGTGCTCTCCCTTCTACTCTAAATAGTCCACAAACTCAGATCGCCTCCAAATTCTCGACCCCCATTGACACTCGAAAAAAGTATGCTGCTGAGTTTCGCAGAGGTCACGGAATGGGCATCTATCGCTTCGTATAGGGTTTCTCTTGTGAACCTGCACTATTGTCAGTAGAATCTCTCTCATGAATTGCCACATGAACTGGTGAACTTTAGGTGGTATATCCAGCTTCCATAGCTTCTTCCACACCCTCGCTTCGCCCTGCACTTCAACTCCATTCTGCACCAAGAATTCTGAGAGCCACAGCTTATAGCCCTCCTTAACTGAATACAATCCGGTTTTGCTTCCCTGCCATACCAGCCTGTAAACTTTGCCATTTCCCCGTAGAGGGATCTGCTTAATAGCCTGAACGACATCTGTGGGGAAGCAACTTTCCAATAAAGGCTCGTCCCAGCATTCCAGTTCTGCGTCCACCAACTCCCGAACTACTGCATCCGCAGGCAATCCCATGGGCGCCGAGTGCACGAACTGTTGAGGTAAGCCTGGTACCCACCGATCACCCCAGATACGAACTTCACTTCCATTCCTGATCCTCCACCTTAAACCCCTGTTCAGTAACTCTTGGGTACTTAGTAGACTACGCCATACAAAACTCGGGCGATACCCCACAGTCGCGTCCAGGATTGACGAGCGTTTGTGATATTTTGCCTTGAGAATACGAGCAATAAGTGAGTCCGATCTCTGAATCAGGTTCCATAGCTGCTTAGCCAGTAGCGCCTCGTTAAACCCTTTCAGATCCCTAAACCCCATCCCTCCATCCTGTTTAGGGCTAACCATCACGTTATCAGTAATGTATCTCCCAGGAACGAACGCACTTTGCGCAGGAGATATGACACTATCCAGAACGAGCTTCAACCTATTAGCAAGGACCTTTGCAACGATCTTGTAGGGCACATTGCATAAGCTAATAGGCCTAAATTCTTTCGGGCTCGTGGGGCTCTTAACCTTTGGTATCAGCGCTATTAATGTATAGTTCAGATCAGGAGGCATATCCACATTCTCTATGATCCCTTTAACCATGTCCACAATATCGAACCCTATAATATTCCAATAATTGTGAAAAAAGGCCACAGACAGACCGTCCTCCCCAGGATCAGACGCCAAAAACCTATCCAATCTTTCCACAATATAACCACCTTGTCTTCTGCGGTTTTCCCAAGTGAACTTATACCCGTGAAACCCCACATCACGCAAACTAGCATCAACGAGGCACTCATGGAATGCCATGATATCCCTCTCCTCCCTTTGTTGTCCTCCACTCTTTTCTTCTGCTGCTAATATTTCATTCAAAACACCACCACATAGCCACGGTCCTTCCCACTGCGCCGCCAGCTCGCGCACAAGAGCTCACGTATTACTCTTCTCTCCTGCTTCTGGCCACCCACAAATGCCTGTAAATCTCCAAAGACTACTACCTTCTTCCACTATCTTGGCATCAATACAATGCAGGGATGCATACATCACTGTCACCTCAATCTCCTCTGTCCACCATAAGCTTAGTCCCCCTGCACGACCACCCCCAGATGTATCAGTCGGCCAACTATTACCAAGCGTAAAACCAAGCTCACTTCTGGTTACTTCATTCTCTTCTTTTTTCTGCTTCGTTTCCATTAAGAAAATAATTTGCGGGGAGGTTTGTCGCAACAGCGACCTCAGAACTCTAACTGCACACTTGCTCCCCAACCTGCGGCAGTTATAACTGAGAAGTCTCATTTATGACCTGGAGGGGATAGGTTCCCCGCACCTTTTTGCACAGTCATTACCTGCTCAGCTTTCTTATCAACCGTTCTACCTGCTCCAGGGCCATGGTTACTAAATCCTCCCTCAGCCTCTTTATTTCCCGCTGCCTTCTTGGGACCAATGTCCCTTTGTAATCCTTTAACCTGCTCCTTACTCGGCTTCTTCGCCACTTCCATCTCCTTCTTCTTTTGCTCTACTCTCTTCTTCTGTGTATCTTTATTTTTATTATTCTTGCTATTTACCCCCACTCCATCGTCCCTCAACCTTTCCTCCTTCTCTAGGTTACTAGTTTTACGTGCATCAGCCATTTGCTCATTATGCATGGGTCTAATTACCTCCATCTCCTCCGTCTCCGCACCATGCAGTACGTTGAAGGGATTATACGTAGCATTTCTAGACTTTTGTCCCACCATAACACCTTGTTGGTTCGGCCTTCTTTCCTTCTTCTTAACCGTCATCCATTCCCCGAAAACTTTTCCATTAGTAGGATCATGCTCCTGAGTCTCTGGGACCATATTGACTTCCTCTGCATTAAGCTCCGGCTGCTCCCGTCTGCACTCACAGTCCTCCGTTGTCTTTCCGTAAGTGCCACATTCCCCACAAATGTTCTCCAACCCCTCATATTGGATCAAGTACTTAATTCTTTCAATCTTATACTGCGACATGAGTGGTTTAGTCAAATCAATCTCGGCACATACTCTGGCAAACTGGGCACGAGCCCCTAGTTCTGTGGCTCTGTCTACCCATACCGGTTTCCCAATCCTCTCCGCTATTCGCAACACAGCCTCTTTATTGACAAACTCTACCGGCAGCTCCGGGAGTTGCACCCATACAATTGTCGATTGTATGATCGTCGTCCACGGGTTAAAGCCCTTGAACTAGCGATGAACTGTTAAGTACGTATCCCCCAGCAACCATGGCCCCCCTGCTGATGCCAATTCATAATCCAGTCGGTTCTTGAATCTAACCAAAAAGCAGCCATTCTTAATCCGTAATTCGAATCTCTCCATGACGGGCCCACAAATAGTTCAGTCTACGAGATAGTGGCAAAAAGTGAACTCTTCGTCCTAATCCCTTTACGACCAATGCTGGCACTAGCTATGAGTTCATTAGCTTAACAACGCTTACATGATAGAATATGGCTTAATTTAATTATAAGAAAATGATAATAAAATTTTGGAGGGGTAGCTGGTAGCTATGAGTAATATAATTTGGGGGTCGTTTAGAAGTTGAGATTCTTCAAATATGTGTATTTGATGAATACATCTATTGTAAATACAAAGATTGTAAGAATTAGATGATTGGAAGAATGTCTTGTTTGGTTGTGGTTGTGGAAGAATGTCATTCAAAAATTTTAAAGAAAAGAAAAGATCACTTTATGAGCTAAAAGTGAAACAAATTAAAGTCAACAATCTCAAAGGAAAAATCTCACCTTTTTGTTGAGATTTAAAATGAGTGATTGTGGGTGATATGAGATTTGAGGGCCCACCTCAAATGCATGTATTGAATAAAGTTTTGGAACAAAAAAACGATGGATTCTCCAAAATACATGAATTCAAAGAATCATTCATCTAGAATCATAACTTCCAAACAACCCCATTGGTTTTTTTTTCGAAGTGGTGAGTTGGTGGAGAGAGAAGTTTGGGGCATCATTTTATTTTTTAATTACCATATCATTTATTTAAATGTCAATCATGTGGGTAATCTTCATGTATGACAAATTTAACGAAAATTTATTGCAAGTAATCAATGACTAAATGTGAGTTCGAAAGTAATCAACTGACCAAATGGGAGTGCAAAATTATCAAACAATAATGCAATGAAAATATTTTAGTAACAAACATGAAATAAAATGATAAATTCAGTACAAGTGAAGTTTTGATTAACTCCACGACATTATATACCTAATGCTTTATTTTAATTCAAGCCGTAAACCTGATCGACCTAAGATGCTACTTTCAAATGGGCGATGTGAAAGCTCTGACTTCTATCTCCTAAGTAAGTTAGTTGATCCAGACCGCCCAAAGGTCCTCATAGTGCTGCATTCTGAGGTAGTATGATAGTTTTAGCTGCTTCCTTTACTTTCGCAGTTGCCGCGAAGGTTGAAAAAAAGACCAACGAATTTAAATTATATCTAAACATGAAAGATTAGAAAATAAAATAGGATACCATGGAGGGTAAAAACCACGCTTGAATAAAAGAACCCAACCACTACCCGCTTGGAAGCCGCCATTCCCAATCTCGATCGATCCTTCGGAGAGCTCCATCGATGACGGTTTCTAAAAGGGGAAGGGAGAATTAATCCTCAATGAAGCTTTGGCTTCCAAGAATGCAGCCAGCGTCGGCTGCGAAGCCCACTAATTATTAATGTCGATCGTCTATTCGCCGCACGCATAGGGCTTAAACCAGTATTGATGGAACGATGATCAAGGAAATGACAAAGAAACTTTTTTCCACGGCTTCCATTTTGTTGTTTAGGTCCGAGTGGAAGATGGGCAAGTTTTTAACAAAATTACTGGCATATCCGTCAATTACAAAAAAAAATGGTAACGCTCACTGTGAATCTAAAACTCGTCAACATCGGGTTCAACTTATTTTGAACGGTTTAAATTAGGTTGAATACCCATGGGTTGACTCAATTTTCATAAAATAAAACAAGATTTTAAATGGTACTAAATTTTTGATTAAGCAGATGGATTTTTTTCTACTTACGACTTAATAATTCTAATAATAATTTGTCCAACTAGTATTAGGATTTTTTCATGATGGTGATAGGAATTTTTTTATTTATGCAAGTATTATGATTATATTAAAACTAATCCTAGTCGGTCTAATGGTATTCGATCCCTAGCTTCCTGGACAATAATCCGATTACATTTTAGAATCAGGAATTCCTCTATCCAATCTCTTCCTATAGCTACACGGTTACAGAAACAACTAACCTAAACCCAAAAGGAAAGGGATGGGATTAGGTGCTAACCCTTATAGGGGTTAGCACCGTGATAACTAGCAAAAAACGCTACTAAAAATAACGAAATCACTACGGATTATTATAAAATCAATACAACATCTAAGCTGAATCACTATTAATTCAAACTAGTAGTAGTTTTTCCCTTGGTTAGGACGGTGCTAACTATTGTACAATTAACATCGTAGCCATTCCCAAAAGGAAAAGGCCATTAATTCCACACTATAAGTACCAACAGGGATGTGATCAGTCTCCCAAAAACCTCCATACTGCTTACTAGTTAATTCGTAGAGACTAGAGATCGACTACTACACCATATATTCTCTTTCGTACCCATCGTTCTAGGCCTAACTACTTGATTCTTCCACGTGTTTGGTTATTTGTGCACCACGATGAAGGGTCACCGCCGTGCGTTGTTTGATGGGTTGCTCTTCCTCTTGATGATCATGTTGTTTGCGTCCACGGTGTATTCAGCTGGTTTTTCGCTATCATCGTCTCTCAGAGTGGGCTTCTACAGGCGGTTTTGCCCAGCAGCGGAATCCTTCGTGAGAAGGACTATGAGAAGAATGGTATCTCTCAACCCTGGCATCGGTGCTGGGCTCATCAGGTTGCACTTCCACAATAGATTCGCCCGGGGTTGCGATGGTTCTGTGTTGCTGAAGACCCTCCCCGGTGGCCCCAAAGCATAGAGAGACCACCCGGCCAACAATCCCGGGTTGAGAGGGTTCAACGTCATCGCGAGAGCCAAAAGAAGAATCGAACGTGTCTGCCCCAACCCTGTCTCATGCGCCGACACCCTTGCTTTTGCAGCCAGGGATAGCTCCCAGATACTTGGACGCATGAACTACCCTGTCCCCGCCGGCAGCCACGACGGCCTCGTCTCCAGCTTCAACGAGGTCACGCAGAACCTGTTGGGATGAATTATCTCCCTAATTAAAATGTGACTTATTCCCAAAGAAATAGGAAATATTCTAGATTTTCTACTCCTATAAATAGCAGACCCCCCCCCCCCCCCCCCCCCCGACCCCCTAGACATACCTAAGAGAGCATAAACACGAGAAAGAGAGTGAGTTCATAGAGCTCCGGTTTTCGCACAAAACCGCTGAGCAAATCAAAAGAGTGGCTGTTTTATCCTGGAGGCGACCGACTGATAGTCTGCTGTGCGAATAACGAGGCAGTGCCGTGAACGTCTTAAAGAGAACGACCTAGTCCGCGACTCAGCCAGATCGATATCCTAAATTTTCTGTTTGGTTTCTAACAATTTTAAGACGATGTGTTGCTGTCATGTCTATCGAACAGGATACAGATTCTAGCTGAATTGATTTTTATCATGGTCGAGCTTCTTAACCGTTCGCTCACCAGGAAACAACCTCCGGATCCATCGTTTCACCATTCGCATATTAGGAGAATGAACGGAGGCGTCTCTCACTTCCGTCTCGGGAAGAAGAAGAGCAGCTGTATCGGAGTCCGTTGTTGTCCCAATCCCAGCCTTTGTCGTACGCTCTCAAAGCACGAGTCAACATCCACAAACTCGGACGTGAGTAGGGTTGGGGAAGAACGCCTATCTCCATTAATCGGAGGTAGAGATTGGCGCGTGTACCTACCGAGCTTCACAAAGAGGCTATTGAAGATTACATGTGTCTCTATTGGATTTGCTTGGAAGGGCTTTACGGGAGAAGGGATCGTCCAACGACGGTAACCGCTTTTACTCTTCCCCTGCCGCGTCCGGAAAAAGAAGAAGAAGAAAGAAATTTCCCCCAAATCGCGGAACCTGAAAGAAATGGAAGAAGTGTTTTGTTTTGTATTGAATCACTTACTTGAATGTACATAAACACAATGGAATTTATACAAGAAAGCTACAACTGTCGGTGCTGAAGGAAAGGAAATAAACATTATCTTGGTTTATCTAGTAATTAAGGAGAATGGGTTTCTGACGTTCTTATGGAGAGGTGTGGCATGGAATTGAGTGTTGTTTGTGGTTGATGGTTATTGCAGGCATGAGCTGTCCGTGAATGAATGGAGATTATGATACTCTAATACTCCCCCTCAAGCTGGCGCGTGTAAATCACGAACGGCTAGCTTGCAAAGAAGGTGATGAAATTGATCGGAGCCGAGACCTTTTTTGAATAAGTCAGCGATTTGATCCCAAGTGTTTATCTTGATTGTTTGGACTTCCTGACTCTGTACTCGTTCTCAGACGAAGTGATAATCCATTTCCACGTGTTTGGTGCGCTCATGAAAGACTGGATTGTTGGCGATATGAAGGGCGGCTTGATTATCACAGTAAAGACGAGTAGGATCAGGAACTGGGACGCCAAGGTCACGGAGTAACGTGCGAAGCCAAATGATTTCACTAATAGTGGTAGCCATGGCACGATACTCGGCTTCGGCGGAAGATCGGGCTACGACTTGTTGTTTCTTTGTACGCCAGGAGACAGCGGCACCGCCGAGGCAAATGATGTAACCTGTAGTGCTAGTAAGAAGACAGCCCCCCCCACAATCGGCATCACAGTAAGCACGTAAGGAGAGAGGGTTGGTGGTGGGAAAGAAAAGTCCCTGACCAAGTGAGCGCTTCAGATAGAGAAGGACTCGATGAGCGGCAATTACATGTTCCTGCTTAGGATTACCCACAAATTGACACAAGAAGTTGACTTCATACTGAATGTCGGGTCTGGTGACTGTTAGGTAGAGAAGACGACCAATAAGGCGGCGATAGGGCTCTGGATCGGCATACGGAGTCTCGGACAAAGCAAGTTTGTGATGTTGCTCGATGGGGAAACCACTAGGGCGGCTATCAGTGAGACCACTATCAGAAAGAATATCTAGAGTGTATTTCCGCTGGCTGAGAACCACGCCACCTCGAGCGAGCAACTTCGATGCCAATGAAGTATTTGAGGGGTCCGAGGTCTTTGATGCTGAACTGAGTATCGAGTCTTGACTTATCATAGGCGATGAATTCATCATTATCTCCTGTCAAAAATGATATCATCAACATAGATGAGGACGAGAACTAGAGAACTTCCCCTAGTGGCTGTAAACAACGAGTAATCGGCGTGGGACTGTTGAAATCCCAGTTGGAGAAGAAATGTGGTGAATTTTGCATGCCAATTGCGAGAGGCTTGGCGGAGGCCATAGAGTGACCAGCGGAGTCGACAAACTCGCGTATCCCCTGGGTGAGTGAATCCTTGGGGAACTTTCATGTAAACTTCTTCTTGGAGATCACCATGGAGAAATGCATTGTTGACATCAAGTTGGTGGAGGCTCCAACGGTGAGCCACGACAACTGCGATCAAGCAACGAACTCTGACGATCTTGGCGACGGGGGCAAAGGTGTCGTGATAGTCAATGCCGGCAATTTGTGTGAAGCCCTTGGCAACAAGTCGTGCCTTATAACGATCCACCTCACCATTGGGTTTAAATTTAATTTTATAAACCCATTTGCAGTCAATTGCCCGTCAATTGGCTACAGGGTATACCTCAGAAGAAGTAACCGGAGTAGTAGACTCTGTGACGACAAGTGACTGAGGGAGAGACGTGTCAAAATTGGCAAGTTTAATGGAGTTTTGGCGATCACGGGTGCTACGACGAGGAGATGGCACTGGTGCTATGACTACTGCTTCTTGTTCTTGATTAATAGAGACTGTTGGTGGGATTTCAGCATTGGAGAGGGTCCCATCGGACGTGATGGAGGGAACCAAACCAACCGGTGTGACTTGGTCGGAAGCGACAGGGGACATGTCAATTGTGGATGGAAGATTGTGCGCCATGGTCGCCGAGGTGGGCGGCAGATGGTGTGGTGCTGTTGATGATGATATTGGGTAGGAAGCCCAATCATAATTTATGGATTGTTGATGCGTGGAATGAGCAAGTGGGTTGGATTGCGGGCACTCTTGGAATGGAAAGAGTGACTCTTGAAAAATGACATCTCGTGAGATGATGACTTTGCGAGTGTTCAAGATATATATCTTGTACCCCTTTTGACCGTGAGGGTACCCTATGAAAACACCTTTGCTCCCCCTTTCATCAAACCTGTCATTTACGCGATGATTATCGTGAGCATAAGCCAAGCAACCGAATACCTTCATGTGATCATAAGTGGGTGATCGAGTTAACAAGACTTCATAGGGTGTACCATTTTGAAGCACCTTTGAGGGAATGCGGTTGATGATGTAGGCAGCGGTAAGTATGCATTCTCCCCAAAATTTGATTGGTAATCAAGACTGGAAGCGAAGCGCTCGGGCTACCTCCAAGATTTGACGATGTTTACGTTCCACGACTCCATTTTGTTGTGAGTTGTCGGTGCATGAGCTCTCGAGTAAGATCCCCTCTGTGGCATAATAATCTTGTATCTTATTGGACTTGAATTCCAATCTGTTGTCTGATCGGACTCGTTGAACAGTGACCCCAAATTGATTTTTGACCATATTGCAAAACGTTGGCAATAGTTCGCCAACTTCTGACTTGTGGCGCATGAGATAAATCCAAACACCTCGACTGAAATCATCCACGATGGTAAGAAAACAATGTGCCTCAGACAAACTTGGAGTCTTGTAGTCACCCCAGATATCACAATGAATTAACTCAAACGGACGGATTGTCTTTATTGTACTTAATGCAAATGGTAATCGAGTTTGCTTGGCTCGCACACATGCATCACAATGGCCAAGTTTATTCTAAATATCCAAATGATTCACCACCGATAGATGGATATTAAATTGAATTCGAATTTAGGAGCATTTAAAACCCCTTGCAGCTCCATTTCGTTTTTGAAACGAACGACTCCCGTGCCAATGATGGGCACTTTTGATCAAGGTTGTCAACCCGCCGGAACCGGTCGAGCTAGTGGGTCAAGGGTTAATGGGTCACCCGTTTTAGCCCGTTTCAGCCCGGAAATATGAAAAGAGTTATTATATTGTATTTATCCTGATAAATTACATCAAATCTCATCTAACATACGAGTAATACCATGTAACATTACACCAAAGTAACATGTTGTACTTAGATCCAACATATAGTGAAAATTCACACACACTTATATAACATCAGTATTCAAATGTTCAACTAAGGATTCCAAAGATTGAGTTAGGCGAAAAGAAAAATCGGAAAATAGGCGCATTTCGCAAACCAAAAAAAAAAATTACACAATTTGACCTCGAACCCGATACCTTCAGCAGTCGACCCGGCAGGTGCATGCGACCCGTTTTTCTCATCGGGTCAGGATCAAAGTGGGTCAACCCGCCGGTCGACCCGCGGGTTAACAACCTTGCTTTTGATCCATTGACCACTTTGACAAATGAAGCTGTGGAGCTTTCTTGTTTTCTCTGCAACACATGCTCATTAAAAGTGATATGATCTGTAGAGGCAGAATCAAGGGCCCAAGCCCATGTTGGATTACCAGTCATATTAGCTTGGTGCTTAATGTATTGGATTGGCCCGTCTGATAAAGCTTCTGGGTTCAATAGCTTGAGGAGGCAGCCCATCTGGCCTTGAGAGAGACCTAGCTGCGGATGAAGGAGGCTCTCCACCTGTGCCGCACGATGCCCACCCCTTCTTCTGTTCTCTTCGCCGTCTCCTCCCTTGGATCGTCGGTCTCTTTTGCTCCCCTCAGGCCAACCGATAACTTCATAGCAGGTCTCCTTCCAATGCCCCATCCGACCACAAACGTCACACTTAGGGCGCTCACGTCGCTCGCTCAGCTCCTTTCGTTCGTCGCCCCTTTTGTTTGGAAAGAAGCAGCTGATTCAGTGGTGGCTCGCGGCGGAGTTGCCGCCAAGCTCCTTCTCTGTTCATCTTCAAGGATGAGGTGGAAGGCAGACATCAGTGAGGGCATTGGTTGAATGTTGAGGATTTGGGTGGTGATTGTTCCGAAATCGCCGTTGAGACCCTATTTCGTTGGCGCCTTTGTCTCCCACGTCTTCATTCCTGTCAACCGTGCAGGTAACTTCCTCCTCGTTGCGTGATAGTCACGTGTCCTTGAAACCGCACTTGCCTTGCAGAAACTTGGCAAAACGACCTACATCCTTGTCCATGTAACGATGCCGTTTCACCAATACCACGACATCGCCCTTCCCCAACCGATGCCGTTTTATAATCCAACTCAACTGCCCCGACCCGGTTTAACCAACGACATTGTTAGTCCATCAAACAACGTCGTTCTTTACTCTTGCGACGTCGTTGGGCTTGGCGGGCTGCCTTCGGCCGAACTCTTGCCACAACCGCGATGTCGTTTTACTTTTCCGCGGTATCGCTTTTCATTAAACGACACCGTCTAAAATACTTATTAATTAAACCAGCCCTTATTGTTAACTCTCCGTCGAACTTTCACCCCTCGGCGTCGTTCTTAGTTAAACAACATCATTTCCTTGTCCCGCGATGTCGTTGAACTTTTGAGCTTCACGACACTGTTTTGATTTTAACACTGTCGTTTTGACTGTTGTTGCCTCGCTTGGCCTACTCGCGGTATCGTGCGTTGACTGACGACATCATTCGCGCCCAAAACGGCTTCGTTTGCCTTTCCCTTCGCGACATTGTTTTTTTTATTTAAACACTGTCGCTTGCTAATCCGCGGTACCGTTGGGCTTACTCGCGGTACCGTTTTACTTATCCGCAATGTCGCTTGTCTTCATGCGGTACCGCTTCTCCCTTTCCGACAAGGAAATACAATAATTATAAAATAAAACTCCTTCTCCAACACCACGAGCACAGGCCTCTTTTATTTTCATCAAGCGGTGTCGTTTCCCAGGGCGCGGTACCGCCGAGCTTCCTTGCGGTAGCGTTTCGCGGTATCGTTTTGACTCTCCGCATTACCGCTTGTCTTCAAACGACGCCGTTTTTCACCCACGGTATCGAATTAAATGCCGAGACTAATTAATGCGGCATTTAATTTCGGCCGAATTAATTTTTAGGTGTCAACTAATGCCCCCCACAATTTGGTTTATAAGGATTATGAACCAAATTGTTGACCAAATAGTATAACACCTAAAATACTTGGCTCAAAGTGTTTAAACGAACTGAACACGTAGGCCAACGTTGGCAATGAAATTATATAATCCTCATGCATAGCGAAATGATTTTGGCCGCCAGTATTGCGGCTAATTGCACCAACGCGGCCACGCGGCCAAACTTCTCTCTTTTTTTTTCTTCTACCAGCGCTGGCATCATTAATAAATAACAATATATTTTTATTATATATTTTTTTTGTATATCAGGGTTGTTAGCAACATCCGCAGCGCTGGGAGACCCCTCTTTTTCCTATCAGGCCTGTCAGCGGCCCTCCTTTTTATTTATTAATTAATATATTTTTTTTTCTCTCGCCAGGGCTGTTTGGGAAACAGTGGCAGTGCTGAGAACCCCCTTTTTTTTCTAATTACCATCAGAGCTGCTAGCGGGCAGCGCTGCATGCATAATTATTTTTTTTTCCATCTACCGGGGCTGTCCAAACACCGGCCACAACCCGCAGCGCCGAGACTTCCTTCCTCCCCCCTTTTTTTTTTATTTTTGGGCTAATACCACTACAACACCCGAACTATCCCGAAAATGCCACTTGGGTCCTATTGTTTCCAATATTCCATCTGTGTCTTGAACTATTATTCCATTAGTGTTGACCGGCGTTGACCGTTAGTATTTAACAGAAAATCTAGTCAGCATTGACATGGCATCTGACGTGGAATTTTCATTATCAATTTTTATTTATTTTTCCATCTAAAATAATAAAAACAAGGAAACCCAATTTTCATTATCTCTACCTCGTCGCTGCACTTCTCCCAAATCTTTTTAATTTCCCCCAAATCAGAACCCTTCGTCTTCCTCCTCCTTCCTATACCGAAGAAATCCCCCTCCCAAATCCGAAACCCAAAACACAAGATGAGGCCGCTATATGAGGCGGAGACGACAGTCGTCTTCGAGAAGCTCCTGAAGTTCACCGGCAACAACCTGAAGAACATCGTCGAGAGCCCCACCCACGAGGGTCCGGACCCGAACCCCGGCCGCTACTGCTTCCGCCTCCAGAAGAAACGGGTCTACTACGTCAGCGAGGCCTTGGTGAAGCGCGCCACCAACATCATCCGGAAGAACCTCGCCGCAATGGGCACATGCGTCGGCCGATTCACCCACGGCGGCAAGTTCCACCTCACCGTCCAGTGCCTGGGATTGCAAGAATTTGGGTTTGCTGTCCTTCCCCATTTTTTAATTTCAAGATCTGATGATGGAGTCTTTTGACCAAGAGTGATTAGATGGCGAAGAAGAAGAACAATATGTTTGCAGGTTCGTCGCTTGGTGGAGGGAGACTCGATCCTGCTACCACTCTCGCTAGATCTGTTTTTTTTTTTTAGACTTTCTTTGCTGGCCGCTGTTGTTCATGCCCGATGAAGAAAGGATGATTCTTTTTTGACAGAGGAAGAAGAAGAAAGGGAAAGTGGAAAGTCAAAATTTTCATTAATGTTGAGTTTACATATTTTGTGTTTTTAATATTATTTTTTATTTAATTTTGAATATAAAATATGAGGTGTCAATGACGTGGCATCTATGTGGCTGCCACATATTTTGCCACGTCAGCAAAAGTCAACTTTGTGTTGACCACCGTTTGGTCAACCGTTATCTTTAACGGTCAACGAAATTGACAGGATACAAATGACACAACGTATTATAGTTCAGGACACAGATGAAATATTGGAAACAATAGGACACAAGTGGCATTTTCGGGATAGTTCGAGTGTTGTAGTGGTATTAGCCCTTTATTTTTTTACCATTGCAGCAGGCCTGGCGGCCTCCTTCTCTCAAACGCCAAGTTTTTTTTTTCTCTTATCAGGTCTGTCTGTTTGGCCGCCACCTCACTCCCTTATTTTCTCTTTTTGTTATTTTTTTTATTTTCTTCCGGCTATTATTCTCCTCCACCAGCGCTGCTTGCATAATTTTTTTTTTTTTTTTAAAGAATCTGTTTCGGCCCAAAGCTATGTGTACTCTTTTCAACGTTACTTCCTTACTTAACCAATCTGCTGCCTTTTGTTATTATTGTTAATTTGTTATTATATTTTTCACAAATTTGGGTAGCCAGTACTGCAGCTCCCAAACAGCGTTGTTTTGTTACCCATAAGCCAGCTCTGATTTCTCTTTCTCTCTCGTCGAGCGCGGCTTCGAAGGAAATTTAATCTGTATATTTTTTATCCATCGCCGCAAAGGTATTTCTCCCAAACAGCTCCGATTTTTTTCTTGAACAACACCAGTGCACAGCTTTGCAGCTCGGCTTTGCCCGAAAGCAGCCGCATTTTGAACCTTTTTCTTTTAACCACATCGTTAAAACCACTTACCAGCATGGTCTCTCCCAATCGTGCAAACACACGAAGCTGCAGCGCTGTTTTTGTCTAAAATAAAATAAAAACATTGTTGCCAAGCAAACTTGCGGCAAAGAAGGTAGGAGTGAGCGAGTGATCTCGTTGAATTTAACTTTGGTTTGCAACGTTGTTTAGTCTGCACCACTGCTGTCGCCAAATTAAAATCAAATTACACCAACCTTGCATCCCTGCGATGTTACTTGGGCCAGAGTTAAAATTTTTTCTTCTTTTTACGTACTTGGCCCAAATGCGACGACAAGTTTCCAGTCTCAACAAAACCGTGTGTCCAGTCCCGGTCCATCTCTGCAATGCTGCTTTGGCAAAACTAACAGTCAAATTCGCAGCACTGCTCCCTTTCTCCCGCAGCGCTGTGGATGATAGAACAGTAGTGTTTTCCGTAGACTTGCTCAATTCATCTCCGCACCGTGCAATAGCCAAACAAAGTTGTTTTGGCCAATGTCCTATACATTTTTTATTAAATCTTGGCCAAGAGCATAATTTTCTAATATTATTTAATTTTGGCCAAATATAATCTCCTCACCATATCAATTTAACGGCTCGCCCCTGCGAAGTTGCTTCGACAGCGTTGGTGGATCTCTAACTTGAGATCCTATTCCCTTCCAACGTTGTAATCCCAAACCAAAAGGGACACTACTTATTTCTAGCCCGCCGAGGCGATTCCCAATAAATAGGTCACCCATGCCAACCCTAAACTTATCCGAGTACAAACAACAACTCAAAACTTCACGAGCAAAGAATCTGTACCTCAGATTTCTGCACAGCTGAAGTCACCGCCATGTCATTGCAAGGATTCTCATCGATCGCCGAGTAGGTTCTGCTTTCCTAACTCAACTATAATATTGGAGCCTTGTTCTCTCCCAGTTAATGTTATTCTTGTTATGGTGAATAGCCGCCGCTGTATCACTAACCCAACCTACCTCTTTGCGAATGCAGCCTCGCTGCGGCTCTCCTCCCATTATCTCCGGGGGAATGACGGGATTTCGTAGGAAACCTGGCCAATGCTGACTTCTCTCTTGAGATAATATCGAAAGATGACGATGAGGAGGGCTGGCTTGGTCCACTCATTCATGACCGAACCACTGCCATCATGGAGCTATTGGACGTTTTCCCAATTCATGAATCTCAGCTTCTGTTTCGTCTCCCCGTCATCAGCCCACTCTTTAAACAGAGGACCGGAGTGTTCCTGCATTTTCGGCAACCCCGGACCCGGACTTTAAACGTTGGCATGGTCGGTTGGCCAAGGATGCTGCAACTGTATCTCAATGGCGGGCACTCGGCCTCGACCGATTTCTTTCTCTATGTTTGGAGCCGCCAAAACCTGATCCCGAGCTGTTTAAAGCCGCCATCTGCTTCTGGTCAACGGAATCTAACTGTTTCGTGCTCCCATTGGGATCGATGACGATCACCCTGCTCGACATAGCGGCCCTGACTGGCATATCAAAACCGCGTGTGCAATCAAGGAGAGCCTTGGATCCAGCTACCTCGAT